AAAAATGAGTCTAAAATATCAGTCAAATGCCTCATTGACTTAATTTAAAATTAGTGAATTTATTTAAAATTGAGTATGAAATGTCAAAAGTCAAATATTATAATCAGAATATTTAGCAGATTGTTGATACATTTCTTCTATTCAAAATCTTCTTATATTTAAATATTTTAGGAAGAAATATGTAATATTTATTTATCTTTTTTAATTTATTTTGTAATATTTATTTATCTTTATTCTAGTTAATTTGAAATGTCAATACCAATTAGTATTTTTATCGAATAATAAAAAAATATTACTAAAAAATTTAGTTATAATATCGATTTTACTTTTTTACATTAGTCTATTATTATCTTATGAATAATATATGAATGTTCACAACAGGTAAAGTTCTAATGGACAAATTCAATTAATTTAACAACCATTCTATTTGTTATGAAATGCATATCAAACAAATAATGAAGCTACGTGTTTTGTGTTATAAATGAATATTGTAATTTCTGTATCAATATTTTTCCATTATTAATTCAATAATTCGAAATTATATGCAGTTTCATTTATTGTTCAGGTTTATGATCAATGGTAATAATTAGTGCTTTATTAGTAATGTAAAAAATCTGCTCATCGTTGTGGAAATTGAATTAGCTTTTTTATGAATCATATATTTAAATGCATAGAAAATATTGGTGCATTATGGTTTTGTATAAAGATAATTAATATATATATATATATATATATATATAATATGCTTTTATTGCTTATTGATTTGCACAATGCATCAATTTTATGCAGAAGGTTTTTTAATGTTCAACAATTTTAAAAATATTTTGTTAAATATATTTAAAATAAATCTATTATATTTTGAGCAAGAAAATTTTTTTTTATTATTTTGCTGCTTTTCTATGAATTCATAATTATTATAAATCTTGTGTTCGAAATTACTATAAAGTTAAATTTTTATGAATAAATTATTATATCATACGTAGCAAACAACTTTGTAAAATACGTATATCTCTGTTAATTATAAATATGTAAAATATTAACTCTGTAATAAGAGGCTAAGTAACCACTTGATCAAATGCCATAAATACAATTAAAAAAAATACTATAAATTCACCTTTACTTTTCTTAAATTTAGGAAACGAATGATTTAATTTTACTGGCATTGTTCAATATCAAATTTGATAAACTATCTTCTATTATAACAAACAATTTAAAACAAAATACCTTTTGAATGTAGATTTTTAGTTACTGAAGTAGCTTTATAATGAGTCAAGTAGCTGAAGATGTTCAGGTTTACAGAAATTTTGACAACACTTAGTAATAACTTTTGATACAGTTTTTCAATGGATTATGAGTACTAAGTACAATGTAGTTTTACATGCCAATTCATACAATAAATAAAATATTAAATTTTAAATATTTGAAGAAATGGTATAATCATACAACCTGTAGTTCTCTGTCCCTGTTGTTTTGTCCGATCATGGAATATAATTTATACTTATCAAAATCAAGGATATGTCAATGCATATGTATGAATAGGGAACAAATCATTTGCAGGCCTAAAACAGGTCAAGCGATTCTGATTTTGCCCCGAAAGCCTTCTGAAAACTACAAGCCCTACGAGAGATTTCGAGTTCTCTTCACAGGCACTCCGATGTCAAATGTACGCATACGTGCATATTGACAGTGATTCGTATGTAAATATATATATATATATATATATATATATATATATATATAAGCAGAAAAATAATGAAAACATTTTTTCTTGTTCCAAATATTAGATATTTATTAACTTTCCGTAGGGTAAGTTATAGTAATCGCAAAAAAATCGAAAATATTTTTTTTATGTAACTTTAAAGGTAATTTGAACATGTTGGCATACCTTAGAAAAAATTGATGTAAGTGTGTGTGTATATGTGTGTGTGTGTATATGTGTGTGTGTGTGTGTATGTGCGGATACAAATTTTCGTCGACGATTTCGGGAACACCGGTCAACCGATTTGAATAATTCAAATTCAAATATTCGATTCGTATTGATAAGGAGACGTGCTCATTAGTTTTTGGCGAAGGAAGGTCCAGCCGTTCTGAAGATACGGGATGTCCCAGACTTTGACGTCAAGCCAAGTAATAGTATTGAACTTGACTGTCTTGATAAGGAAAAAAAACAAAGTATCTTACGTTATTTGGAATTTATGAGCTTTTAAGTGCAACCTAGAGCTTTGGTGAAAATATAACCATTCTTCGGTTATTTTGGTTAATTTTTACCAATTTCATTCATTTTTATTAATTCTCTCTTTTTAATATTTTATATTTTACTTCAAGCTGTACTACTTTCTGCTCAAAGTTTTTATATAACTTTACGATACTGATTAAAATTGCAGCATCTAGCTTCGCATTTCTATCAAAATTTAATATATTACTGCTCTAATATATTATATCAATTATTTTTTATTCTTAAACTTTGGAATCGTAGTCGTGAATAACATTTCTAGAACGAAAACAACAGTTGCCTCAAGTTTTCAAAAATTAAGACCAATTTCTTGAACCATGAATTTAAAATTTTTGAAATTGGTCAACTTTGAAAAGCACTCTTTCAAAAAAAGTACAAAATGCGTTAGCAAATTTCATCAAAAGTTTTTATTTATTTATTAACTATTATAATTACAACAGTTCAGTTAAGGACAGTTAGCAAATTTGGTAATTTACAATTGTTAGCCATTATAGGGGCATTGTATATCATAACGACACGTTGGAAAAACAACTCAATAGTTATTTTTCCATTCGTTATTAATAATTTTATTCATATTTTAATTATAATATAAAATTATATATTTTCTTATAAATAATAACTAAGTCATTTGAATCTTCATCAGGAAAAATATTGACTTAATTCAAGTGGCGATTTTCTTTTCAGTCTACGACGATAGTTTTCTGTTGACGTATTTAATTAGTATAGCAAACATTTGAACTGATTGTGGGTAAAATGTACTAGCCAAAACTATGTTATTTCTAGGTTTCTATTTCTTTAGCGATACTTTACTTATAATAAAAAAAAATCAGTCGATATATTTGCAAGGCACATGTTTCCATAGGTTTTCCTTCTATCGTCTAATCATATATATATAAATTGGATTCCGAATGTCAAAGTCTTTTGAAAAACTGAGCGTGTGCAGATATGAGTACGGAAACATACTAGATAAAACCTTACAAGGCTTTTTATTCACTTGTGTTTCCTTGTATTTTCATACGATTTAGGGGATTTCGAATTTGCGGTTTTGCATACAAAAAGTGAAACTCCGTAGATAGGATACGGGTTTATAGGTTACGAAGGATTACTTGTGTAGAATATATATATATATATATATATATATATATATATGTATATTTACAAAACTCTGTATCGAAATCTAATCTGATCTAATACAATACAAATTCAATTATAAATGGTTATACTATTAGGCGTTTATATAAACTTACTGATTTATTTTCATTATTCAAGAAGTACCAGCAAAGCTTCATAATGTTTCAAATATGACCATTTTAAGAAGATTTAAGATATTATATTTTTTTAAAAAATGTGAATACGTCTTGGTAACAATGTCCGACATAATCTCTATAATAACGTGCTACTTATAAAATTGAAAAATGCCTTAAATTAATATAAATATAATTGGTTTAATATAATTTTTAATTTATTAAAAATAATCTATGCTATAATTTTCTATTTACTTTTTTCTTAATGTAATTCAAATAGGTACTTAAAGATCTTAGGCCTTGGTGTTTATTTAAGTTTTTTATAAATGAAAAGTCATTTTTCTGAAATTTTTCATTCGTCAAGTGTGAAGTGTTAAAATTTGAATAATAGTTGAACACAAATTTAATATCTTGCTTCTACAATTTTAATTCAAAAACATTTTCATTTGCATATTCTTTTAGTAGACTTTTTCGTAAGATAATATAGGTAAAATTACTAAAAAAGAGTTGATTTCTGAAATATATTTGTTTTATTTTAAGTGCAAAATGTTGTAAAGTGATTACATATATTTATACTATATTTTATATTTCTGAAAACTTAATCATTATTTTATTTGTGCTGTTATCATAATATATATTTATTTAAAATGCTGTTCACAAATAACAAATCTATAGCAATTCTCAATTTATATTTAAATCTATTTTGTTTGCCTAATAATTATTATAGAAAAGTTAGAAATATTATGCTATAAATTAGTATTATATATATATATATGAATTCAATAAAGCATTTTGTATAATTAGGCAGAAAATTAAAAATTTATTGCATGGTAATTACTTCATTTTAGTAGATGGAGTAATAAATAACGTTTATTTGGTATTATTATACCTTAATTATTATACCTTTTTCTCGATCGCGTTTTAAACAAATAAATTATTTAAATATAGTTTTATAGTTAAATATTAATTCTGGTAAATTATTTTGAATTGCTACAGTAAACTTACATAATGCTCGTTATTTGAAAAAATAATTTTGAATGGTTGTTGATCACAATTTTCTTATCAGTAAAAATTAAGATATATTTTGGTATAAGGTTTTAATTCATGTAACAATAATATCGAGGAAAAAATATGAAACTGTAAGTTGTATATTTACAACATTTTTATCATTTTTTTTTAATAATTCAATATGATCTTAAGCAAACTTGCATATCCTGTTAACAAAATAAAAATTACGATAATATTGTTCGTTATTTCCAAATTATCTAGAGTTAAAACTGTTTCTATAGCTACTAAAACCATGCAAAACTGTTTCTATAATTAACAAAAACAGCATGCTCATTGCAGTCAAATAAATTTATGAACTGTAACTATTTCCATGAAATGGCAAAATATGGCTATAAAAATAGGGCAAAATATAAAATGGCATGATAACAGTAGGTAGTTTCTTTTATGACTGGTTTAAATAAAGTTATTTTTAATCATTATTGAGATGTTTTAACATACATTTATATTATTTTCAGCAATGAAAGCAGCTATTTTAATTCAAAGATGGTACCGAAGGTATTTGGCACGTATGGAGGTTAGGAGGAGGTACACATGGACTATTTTCCAGAGCATTGAATATGCCGGAGAGCAGGATCAAGTGCGGGTAAGGAATTAATTATATAAGGGCTTAGACTAATTTGCTTAAACTAGTAGTGTACATAATAATTCTTAGTAATATCAATTTACCATTTTCTCTAAGAATAAACAACATAGAGACAAACAATTTTTAAATGAATGTTATTATTTATAATTTGATTAATGTTTTTTGCTGGATATTTTTTATTTTGGGCTATGTGAACAAATATGATGATAAATATTACAAATTAAATTCTACTTAATAAATACATATAGTAAAAAGGATATTTCTCATGTTGTTTGAGTATATTATACCCAAAAATTAGTTGTTTTTTTTATTAAGATACTAGTTATATAAACTAGTAACCAAAACAAGAGTGAATATTTGTCTACGCCTTTATATATTCTAAGATATTTGTCTGGTACTAATATGTACCTAAAGTAAAAGTGAAGTTATATATTTATTATCTCTATTTTAGAAAGTTTATTCACTACTATTATTAGGCAAATATGGAAAATAATAAATATAAATATTAAGCTCAATAATAATTATTATGTTCAAAAAATGAAATTCCCTTTATTATATCACATATGATTTTAATAATAATGATAACTCGTATCGGGTATTAATGAATTAACTCATAAATCTTAAAAAAACAGTAAATATTTTTTTATAGATTTATATATTCTAAGATAAATGACTATTCTTTACTATAACTACTTCAGCAACAACTACTAAACTGATAAAAAAAGTTACAATAAATTTGAATGAATATAAAATTATATATTCAATATACTTATTCTAAGTAGTTTATTTACTAATGTTTAGAGCTTAAAAATATCAACAAATAAAATAAATTTTATAAATAATTTACAACAATATAATTAGATATACATTTTCAAACAAATAAAAAATATGTGTAACGAATATACAATTCCCTTTATTAATATCTCCCAAGAATTTAATTAGTCATATTATTTAGGTAGTCATAAATTTGCATAAAACTATTTCAATTTTTTATGGTTCTTTAAAAAAAATAATCAAGTTATCATGAACTTAAACTGTGAGTATCTTTTTTTATCATAAATCTAACCTAATTGTTAACAAAAAACTGCAATAAATTTTAATCAATATAAAATTATATATTCAATATCTTTATACGAGACAAATATAGAAATTCACAATTATATAGGTAAAGCTTATAAAATTATAATATTTTCAAATGAATAAATAAATATCTTTGAACTTTATCTATTTGAACTTTTTATGGTTCTTTTTAAAAAATTAAGTTATCATAAACTTAACTCTTAGAGTATTTTTTTTGGAAAATTTATCATAATTCTATCCTAATTGTTAACAAAAAATAACAATAAATTTAAGTAAATATAAAATTATATATTCAATATCCTTATTCTGGGAAGTTTGTTTACTAATATAGAAATAGACAAATATAGAAATGTATAAATATATTGAGCTTAAAAATATTTACGTTTTCAAACCAATAAATAAATATGTTTAACGAATATACAATTACCTTTATTAATATTTTACAATAATTTCTTTAGTAATATTATTCAAGTAGTCATAATTTTGCATGAAATTATTTGTTCTTTTTTTATAATTTTTCATAGGTTTTACTTCATAATTAGCATTTTTGTTTGGATTTGGTTTTGTCATCATGTAGTTTTGATTTTTAATTTAGAAAAAAAATTCAAGTTATCATAAGCTTAATCTGTGAGTTTTTTCAGAAAATTTATCTTAATTCTGTCCTAATTGTTAATAAAAAAAACTACAATAAATTTAAATAAATATAAAATTAAATATTCAATATCCTTATTCTGGAAAGTTTATTTGCTAATGTTATTGGACAAATAAATAAATATGTTCAACAACTATAAAAATACCTTTATCTATATCTTACAATTTAATAAATCATTTTATATATGTAGTCATACATTTGCATGAAATTATTTGAACTTTGTATTATCTTTTGCTTACTTGCCTTAATAATTAGCATTTTTGGTTCGATAAAGCTTTGCTCATTATATTGCTTTAATTTTGAGTGGTAAAAAAGTAATCAAGTAATTTAAATATATCTACTATAAGTATTTTTTTTTTTGGAAATTTATCATAATTCTGTCTCAATTGTTACTCAAATATTAGACACAATTAATGTATTCCCAAATAGTATCGTAAAGAATGATTGTATTCCATGAAATAATTTCAAATCATCTTTGTAAACACTTTCATAGAACTTATGCTATTTCTCTCTTACAATAATGTTTAAGACATATAAAAATTTAGCTTATAGTTTATTACGTTTTATTTATTAAATATCTAAGCAATATTTTTTATATTTTTTTATTCTGATATTCAATGCTGCATGCACCTGAATAAAATATATATTTAATTGCATATCTTAATAATAATTTTCTTACAAAAATTAATTAAAAAATTATTTTTTCTTTCAGTTATACAATTTTTTCAACGCATTATTAACACACATACCAGATTCAGCAACAAAATCAGCTAACTCTGCAGTTACTTCAAGATCATCTTCTTTAGGTATGTTTTATTTTATAATTTAAAATTTAATAAAATAATACTAATTGCATTTTAATTTTATAATTGATCTAGATAATGTTTATTTTTATATTTGAAATTAATAGGCACACAACATATGATGTTTTGATAGCATGCAAGCGTGCTTAATGTAATTGAAATATTGTCGTGTTTTAATTAAAATATCGTATTCTGAAAAAGTACTATCTATTAATGATAAAATGCTTTGAAGTATATTTTTTCATTAATTAACAATTTTGTGTTGTTGTGTTATCGATAATGCATAACATATTAATTTTTTGTTGGACTAATTTGTCCACTCTTCTAGTCATTCATGTTCTGATCCAATAATAACAAATTTTACAGGAGAATTGGATCAAATTGATTATGTTTATTTATATTACGTTTGGATCTATCAAATAAATTATTTATGACGACTATTTGGTTGAATTGCTGAATAATAATAAAATTATTGAATTCCATGCATATTATAACCATGAGTATTATAATAATATATGAGTTACATATAAGCTATAAAATTCTAATTACTAATATTATAATTTTACATGATTTATACTTTTGATAAAACTTACAACTTACTTTAGTACGTATTTTCAAAGGTGGGCCTCTCCAAGTCAAATTTTTTTTAATTTATAGTGCAACAAAAACTCTTAATTCTTAAAAATGTGAGGCAATTATGTCATTATTTTGGACCGTTTTCCTAGAAATTTTATTTACGGATCCAAAGTTTAAATAAAAAAATTAATAAAATTTAACTACAATAACCGTAAAATGGTCACAAGTTTAGGTGTCAAATCCTAAATACAAATGGCTCAGACATCAGACAAATACATCAGACCTGTTATTTTATTCGTTTGTTTTCAAAACTTAGAATATCAATTTAATTTGAGTTCTAAATAACATTTAAAAATCATCGAACTGATAACGATCTGTGAATTTAAATTAACATCAACTTTTTACAGCAATTTTAAAATAATAATATTTAGGTTAATATTATCAGTATATGTAAATTTTAAAAGTTCTGAAAATTAATTATTTTTGTAATAATTTATTTGAATTAAAGAAATCCAGTTTTTTTTAATTAGTACTCTTATTGATTTTGATTAAAAAGTTTACCATTTTATTTGAAGCTGTTTAACATTTTCAATATTTGCTAGTGTTTAAAGATTTTGAAATTGATATTACCGGTTCTTTAGCGAATAATTTGGAAACTTTAGAATATTATGAAACTTTCAGCTTTCTGAAGCACATTTTAATTAAAATTGTCTCTGCACATTATTATTGTAAAGAGCTACCAAACACTATATTAAACTTTATGCTAAACTTCATTTATAAAAAATTACATGAAGTGACAAATTGTATAATAATAATTACAATACTCAATAGCATCAAGTCAGTATTTTTTTCCAAAATTTTTCATAATCCTAAATTGAGTAAAAAACTAACGCAAACTTCTCAAATGTTGAATTCATTATTTTGCTTTCTTTATAAAATATTATAATATAAAAATTAAAATTGTTAAACGTGTATTGTTAAAAACGTGTAAAATTAAATGTACTGTATATATAAGGTCTTACAAACATGTTTAATTTCTAATAAAAAACAGCAAAAATTTACGAGCTGTGTCTAGTTGATATTATTAATATATTTGAACAATGGGTTGAATTTTCAACAACGAAATACTAAAAATATATGAATTGTTTGTGCTATATTTAAATTTAATATCTTTGAGTAGTGATGAATTTTTCAGCTGATCGATCCTACGCTAGAATTAAAATTTAATTAAAAATGTTTAGCAGAACTAATAATTTGAATTTTTAATAAAGTTCTATTTTAGGGATGACAATAAAACATATTGACAAACAACAAACTGCTAAAAATGTATAGGGTATGTGTGTTCAGTTATTAATTTTAATATATTTTAGCAGCGCTAAAACCAAACTGGTTGTGTTTTAATTAAAAATGTTTAACAAAACTAATAGTTTTATTTCATATAAATATGTGCATGTTTAATAATAAACTAACTCTACATGGCGAGTATGTGAACGTCTGCCTGTTTATGTGGTTGCAGATAATATAGATGTAAAATATTCAGATGAATCTGATGATGTAGAGGAAGGTCTCGGGATGAGTGGGCCGGATCGAGGTTATAGGGGGCCACATTTGAATTTCCCGCTTCAGAGGAAGGATTTGGATGTACTCATAGACACATTTAGGAAAAAGAAAGTAAGTCAAAATATAGATTTATTACTATTATATTATTATTTAAATAGTAGTATTATTTTAATATTTTACTATAATATAATATAACGAATTTACATAAATATTACAAAAAAAGTCCTTGTAACTTTTAAATTGCTATTACTATTATTGGTATTGATACTTAACATATTTTATGATACCTCGTTTAGAGGGATGATCCTTGTATATATAATAACATGTTTTGTTAAAACATAATTATAATAAAAAAAACTATATATATATATATATATATATATATATAACTATAAAAATAATATTGTTAAAAACATAATTATATTATATATATATATATATATATATATATATATATGTTTTTAACATGAACTTTAAATCATTAAAAAAATACTTCGTGTTGACAAAAATATCATGGATAGGTAACAGGAGAATAAAGTGTGTGAGTAGATTATATATTGTTAGATATAGATAGTTACATAGAGATGAATATTGTAGAGAGTGTAGTTAAAGACAATAAACGAGTAATTAGAGATGAAGTGTATTATTAGAGACGAACGAACGTTAACATATATTTTATTTTATTTCAATATACTGTCGAAAATATGGTTTTATAAATGTATATACGAGAATATTATAAGTATTAAGGGAATGAAGACAAGTGAGCGAAATGCACTAGCAAAACTCGTGTTTATCAAGTTTATCAAATTTATCAATTATTATGTCAATTTACTATCCTGATTAAATGCGCCGACTCTTGATGAAACTTGCCAACACATTTTAGTACATTTTTTGTAAGGAGGGCATCTCCAAGTCGACCGATTTTAAATATTTTAATTTCAAAAGAACAAAAAGTCTTAATTTTTGAAAATGTGAGGGAATAGTAGAATTTTTGACTGTGGTCCTATAAATGTTATTAGCAATTACAAAATTATAGTTTAAATTTACAAAGTTAATAATACTTAACTACAGTAAACGAAAAATTGGTCACTATTTTATTAAAGCTCTAGGTAGCACTTGAAAGCTTATAATTTCTAAACAACGTGAAATAATTTTTGTTCTGTGACACCCTGTATATACATAATTTTATATTCAATTTATTATAGTTGAAATATATTAGAATATATTTATATAACTTTGTTACATTGTCTTAACATCTAAGATGTAGCACATGTGATAAATATCTAAACTAAAAATTAGCAATGATTTACATTATTTTTATTTACATTTAAGGACATATTGCGACATTTTATAATTATTTATAAAACTTATTGATGGTTTAACACTTTTTGAAATTATATATTAATTTACAATATTTTTATGTAAACCATTTTATTTTGGAATATTTGAGATAAAGTGTTCTAATATATTTATACCTAGTATAAATTTTTTATAGTAATCATGATGTACTTGTATAATATGACATATCATTGCATTCTATGATAATTAATAATAATAAATAAAAATAAATAAATAAATATAATTTTTAATAATACTTATTAATTGCATACTTTAAATTCTTCCAATAAATAACAATATTTTTTAAATGTTCATTGAACTTTCAACCTTTTTATTACTTACCATGATATTTTATGATTTGCGACACAATCTTGATTAACTTCTAATATAGTGATATTGCAATGTTAATTAATTAACAGATCTGCATTATTGGTCTATGTTTAGTTGATTTTTTTTAAATTATTGATCTTAATATCAATATTTGTATTTTTTAATAGTATGATTATTTATTCTGTTATGTAATTAACTTAGCTTTCGAACTATTTATATTAGCTTTAAAATAATATGAATGATATATGAAACTATTAATACCTTTAAGGACACAACGTTGAGATTTTGAGATCTCACAGAATTCACAAAAATTGTATTTGTATTGTATAAGAACAACTTGAATGTTAATAATATTTAAAAAGTGATAGAATATGGTTATTTTAAAATAGCGCTTTTGCAAGCTCAAAAATTATTAATATATAGTAGAAACTCGATTAACCGACTAATATTGTTGTTGATAGGCATTTGAATAATCAAATTTCCGGCTAATCGAATGTATAATAAATACATATATATTAGCGAAAATCAATGTTTATTAGGAAATTAACACGACTTCTGTATGTGCAAATATATTTTCTTAGATTACATTACTTACGAGTACATAATACTAAACTGCATCATACATACATCGTAAATCATAAAATAAAATATTTAGGTAAGAATGTACAAATTTGTTTACAATATATATCTGGCATTTGCAAGGACACAACAATGAGATCTCAAAAAATTATATTTTGGATTAAACAACCTAAAAATTTAAATAATATTTAGGAAGCGACTGTTTATATTTACTATAGAACAGCGATTCTAAAACAGTTTCTAATTCAAACCACGTAAAACCTAAAATTTAACAGCTCCTGGAACTATTTGCATAAATTAATGTCGGAATTTAAAACAATTTCAGCAAAGGCTGCACGCGCGCTACGTGGCCGGCATTCTTAGAGATTCCACAACCAAGCTGAAACGTCTTCCAAATCTGAACCAGGCTTCCACAGCTATTTCCCGACAAGTTACGATATGCGGAGACCTGCACGGAAAACTGGACGACCTTTTAGTAGTTTTTCACAAGGTAAGAAAGAATTCTATAAAAGTTAAATTTCGGATTTAGGAAAAATTAAGCTTGAGTGTATTTTAATGGCTCAGATTAGTGGTGAATGATGTTGTACTTAGGGCAAAATAGTCTAACTTTTATTCCATAAACAAATTTTAGGAAAAATTTATTCTAAGAAATTTGAAATTGCCTAAAATTTCCTAAAGGGATTAAAGTTGAAAGGAATTAAAGTAGAAATTCTTCAAATCAATAATATTACAATCAAGCTGAAATTTTAACATTTTGATATAATTGAATAATTTATATGAATATATAATCAGTTTTTACATTTTCTTCATTTCAAAAATTTAAAATTTTCAATAATGAATTTTTACTAACTTAAAATGTCCGGAGTGTTTTAGGAAAAATGACGAGATTTATCATTCAAACATTTTCAGATTTTGTTTTATTTATTATTAGTATGTATAGGATAGGCCATTTGAAGGGCAAGCGCCTTTTAAAGTGGAAGCATATTTGTTTCTATTAAAAATTGTGCAAAAACATCATTATTTATTCATTGAAAATATTTTTAATATATCATATTGAACAAACATAAATTATAAACTAAATAAAAATAAATAATGTTTTTTCATATATTTCAGAAAAAAGTGCTTTCACTTCCATTGGTTTGCCCACCCCCAGTATATATTATAAAAATGTCATTTATGATGGTCAAATTTGTGTCAATGTTGTAAATAATGGCAATTTTTTAACTCAATATTAGGGAAAAGTCCTCAAGTGGCGGATACCTAAGGTTATTTATAAATAAATCAAAAAATATTTTACTAAATGATTATTATACTATGATTTATGTTAGATAACAAAGTTAGAAATCAAACTAGATTAACAAAACCTCAATCTTTGCTAAAAAATAATTAATACTATCAATCAAACTTTGCTATCAAAAAATATGATTTTAAACAGTGGCATCTAGTACCGGACATTTCAAAAATTACCTGCATTGATCACATATGTAGCCATCTCCACGCTCTGGAATATCTGCTTATATGTCTTTGACGAATATTCTTAGATATTGCACAAAAAAACACTATTCATCCACCCTTTTGGCTCGGCCACACCGATGCTCTCAGCTGGTGCATTCATAAGCTTTCCATTCTTTGACTAGAAAATACGAAAAATGTGGGTATATAGTGACCATTAGCACTCATACAGAATAAAATTAAATAATTGGAATAAATTACGTAAATTCCCACAAGAAATATCAATATGTTTACACTCCGGCACTAAGGGACGACTTTAGTGTCCGGTGCTAAGGGACAGACATTTTCGTTCTTTTGATGGCACCTACTAAAATTGGTTAAAAGATCTAATAATATTCTACCATTTTACGGATAACAATCAGGTATAACTTTTATCTTTGCATACCACTCAAATGTAAATGCATAAATATGCTAGAATTACTTCCATTGATATATATTTAGGTGACGCCGTGATTTTGCGTCTAAAACAGGAAAGGGTTGCTCTCGCCGTGGCCGTGTGCATCACAGGCGAGGCTTGGTGCGTGATCCTGTACCTGTGTGCCTCCAGCCCCTTTCACTTGTATTTTGAAATGAAAAGTTTTATACTCGCCTAAATAATACGTATTAAATAGAGTGTCCGGTTCTTGGTGCCGTCGAGCGTTACGGGACTTTTTCCTTCACTATTATTTATTCAATTTCAATATTATACAATTTTGTATATTATTTAATAAAAGTTAGTTTTCAATTGCAATAGTGCAAAGAACGTCACTCTAAGGCAGACTTTCAAAGAATAGTCAAATAATTCTGAAATATGTATAAATATTTAATTTTTTTAAAAAGATTTAGATTATTATCAAATAAAAAGTTAGCAACGTCTCATTTTGTTTAAACTATACTATGTTCATTTTACAATTTAATGAATTACAACGAGTTGCAATATCTTATCTACAATAATTTCCTAATATCAGATTACAATTTACTGAAATTGTTTCTATATATTTTGCAGAAGAATTAATAGATCCCAATAAATTCTTATTAATCATTAATATTCTTATTAGACAACAAACAATTGTTTCTTCAATTAATGATGTCATGTCAATGAATTCTAATGAAGTGAATAAATATAAACCCTATTTTCTGACAAGATTACCTTGATATATGTGATAAAAAAAATTCAAATGCCTCTGAAGTTTATTTCTCCAACGATGCTTTTGTGTTTAACTAATTTACAAAATATCTTACTTTAAGCAAATATCAAAATAAGACTATCAGCTTATTCGAGTACAGGCCTAACAATATTTCACTTACACCTCTACTTAAAAATTTATTTCTAGATTTTAATGGCAATTTAATCTTGATCGATGATAGTTATTATATAATTTCCACTAATCCAGAAGCTCGTAGATTTCAATGTGCATTTCTGAAAGGATGTGTCAGCTTAAGATATTTGTTCAATTTCCCTCACCTTATTTATTGTAGAAATAACTTCCGAGATAATCCTGTTTGTCCTTTGTTGTGTCAACTCAAGTTGAGCGAAAGGTTTCCGAGACTTCAGATCCAAAGTTGTTTTATCAAACTAAATAACAATGTTCGTTTCAGTACCTGAGAACTTCATAGTTGAAGTAGAAACAATCCATACAATGGAAAACGTATATAATATATGCCTTTGTTATTTTAAAACCCACGTCTATTATCCTTTTATCTCTTGCAGTTTATTTGCTTTGCATTGCAATAAACCATCGGAATATAATATGAAATTTATGTTGAAATTTTACAGTGTATTTTTATAAAGTATGAATTATGTAAATGCTTATAAAGAATATATTTATTGTAAAATTTTACACGTTAGTTATCTAATCTAAATATATACCATTACAACATTATGGTATAACCATAAAACATATTATATGGTTACAGATAATATAAGATAGTTTAATATTATTTTTATCTATTTGTCGAGCATTTATTTCTGAATTTTAGCTGTCTATAAAAAGTGAATAAAATATGTACAACTGGGCAAATGTGTATTTAGATATTTCTGTTCTATTGTATATAATACTTACTTCGGAATTGTGTATAACAAATTGTTTTGCACTTTGTAATTTAATATATTTTCAAATAATATGCAAATTAGATGCAAAAGTTGACACCGAGTTTTTTTCTAGATACATAAATTTCATGGTTCTAATATATTTAAATATTTTTCAGAACGGTTTACCTTCGGCAGAGAATCCATACATATTCAATGGAGATTTCGTGGATCGTGGTAAAAAAGGTCTTGAGGTACTATTATTACTACTGGCCTCTTTCTTAGTTTTTCCTGGAGGTGTTTATCTCAACAGAGGTAATCACGAAGATCAAGTCATGAATTCCAGGTAAAAATTTTAAAAGAATTCGGAAGCCTAAAAAATTTGCGCTTTAAGCAATTGGCTGATAGCAGTACTTAACTTTCTTATGTAATGTGATTTTTCATTTGCAGATATGGCTTTATCAGAGAAGTTAATCAAAAATATAAGGTTAGTAAAAAAATTGATTGTTAATATAATTTATTTAGTATCACACTATTATTTTTCTGTATTACATTAACGTAAATTATTACACTATTGACTTTCTGTATATTCCAATGTATATTACTTATCATTAATTTTACTGGTCTTACAATTTTTCAATAAAAATAGTGAAGATTTTATATAACGATACGTTTACTAATTCCCTTTTGAATTAGAAGTAAACTTTTCTTTAGTTTAGTCCGCATTCAATTTCAAATTGCCAAGAATTACTATAGAAGAAAATCGATTGAAATTACTACATACTCATATGTTCTATTCACACGAAATCTTTTACGAGAACACGTTTGAAATAATTTCAAAGGACTCGAAGGATTTCGAAAAGAGTTTTCGTTTTGTTTGTTATCTGCACCGAGCGAGCGGCATCGTCCTCGTGCTTGTGAGCTTTGTATAAGAAAAATAGAAAATTTGAACTTTTCTCTATATACTATTATAGTATTTGATGGATTCCCATTCAATTATTTAGTTACACTAGACACAAATCTTATCTCACTATAAGTTGATATTATCAATTAATTAAGTATATTCACATTTTTATATTAAGCATTTTAATTTTATTCACTTATTAATCGTGCTTTCGCATTTATTTTTGGATTGAAAAACAACATAGTAAGCAATACTACATATTGATATCGATTTTTTTATATATCTCTTAAAATATATTGTGTGTGTCAGCATGAATATTTTTGCGGAAATACCAGATAAGGCTTATGAGGTATGTGCAGTGTTACTTTTATAAAAAATGTGCTCATGAAATTTATTTTTTGCATTCGTTGAATAATGTAGCCAGTATTTCGTAATATTTCTTTAAATTTATAATTAAGACATTGGTATATGCCTCCTGGGTAGTTGTAATTTTATTGAGTAAAAGCAAAGATTCATTTAAAACCTATACTTTTGAAAATCTTAGGACAATCCGGAATAAATGATATAAATCCAGCAGAAATATTGCTTTTAGAGAAACTCCGGGACTGTAAAGACCAAGCCGGGAAATATGGTCACTTTAATAGAAGTAGAAATAAGTGAATAAAAATAAATTTCTGTGCAGAGCAGATTGGAAAGATAATTGCCAAATAATTTTGGGGTAATTGATTATGATAGATATAGATGTCTTAAGACAGAAGTCAGTCTGAATATGAGATATAATTAGACAGATAACACACAAAAAGATTTTGATATTTTATTAGATTTTTAATATTATTTTTTTAATAATAAGAATCAAAGCATTAATTACATTATATGAGTTATTTTGATTTATATTAATTAATTAAATATGATTATAGATAATAGTTAATTCAATGGGTAATAAATTACCATCAGAAACAATTTATTAGATCAAGTTTATATGCTTTTTTCTTAATTCGCCTAATTCTGGTGTAAAATTGAATAAATTTTTATACAAGACTCAGTAGCATAAAACATATAGATCGAATAATATAAGATATATTATAATAACATAGATAAAAAGTATTAAGTAAAAGTACATTATAAAAGTATTAAAGTAAGTAAAAGTGCATTATAATCAAATAATAAAGTTCTTATGAAATGTCCGCAATCCTAATTAAAAAAAAAGATTCACATATATAAATAAATTCACTCATTATGCAATTTTGTTTGAAGAACTTCATGTAATTAAAATTAACATACATTAATTGACTGCTTGTATTTTTTTTTCGCTGGCGATACAATCTCATATTTTGAGCAGCTGTAATATCTGTTTTGCCTATAAAAATATTTTTCATTTTAATAACTTCAAAGAATTATAGAAACTACGAATAATTTAGAAATTATTTCAATAAACTTTTTCACCCGGCACAAATGTTTGATATGTTTTATTATTTTCATTAAAGTAAAATATTCTTCTGATCCAGGCATTTTTATTAAATCATGATTTGTACTACGATGTAACCTTAAAATCTAATGACATTTCAAACTCCTCGTTGATGTATGCCAGTACGCATACAACGTAAGATTTCTATTCACTCGACACGACGACTAATCACAATCGACCCGTATAGAAATGATTTCATCGAGAGCGAATGAACAGTTCGAATGTAACGCAATTTCTGTTGCATTTTCACAGATTAACTCTCTAGTCGCGCCTAAAGAAGTCTTACTTTACAAACTGTCTTTTATTGTATCTTTAAAAAGCATTTGTTATATTTACCACTCGTCCTGGATTAGCATAACTAAAAATTGCCGTCCCGGTTCTAACTTAGAAAAATATGGCCTTCTTAACAATAATTTAATATTCTTATATTTTAGAATGAACAAATTTACCATTAGCTTTGATTTAACAATTACAGCACAATGCGGAACGCTTACTGCGGCTCATCGAGGGCGTCTACCGCTGGCTTCCGCTGGGGACGATTGTTAACAACCGCGTTCTGGTTGTTCACGGCGGTATATCTGATTCAACGGATTTGGATCTGATACGAAGTTTGGACAGAGGAAAGGTAACTTTTTATACTCTAATTCACATGGTTTAGTATATAATTTTAGCTTGGATGAAGTTAACTTGTATACTACTCATTAGTCGCCATCAGTCATTTTACCACCTGACAGGAAAGATTTTTACATTAGTAAGAAGGAAAAGTAAATATTTTGTTTTCTGTTGTATTGCGCAGTTGAAATTGATCTCTTAAATATTTCTCTTGCTTTTATTTAGAAGGTTTGACTAATAACTTTGTAATGACTAGAATGAATAATTTACAAATTATTGGTGTTTGAAATCAGTTTTGACAATACTTATTTTGCCAAAGACAATTTTTTTTCTAATTGCTTTAATGTATTTCAAACCTACCAGAAGTAAAATCGAAATGAATTGTTACAATCCCATTTTCTTTCGTAAAGAGAGTAAATATTTTGGCATCTTTTATTATGTAAAATTATCGAAAATTTAGAGTAGTACAAAAATTAGCTTATTTATAAGTCGATTAGTTACATCAAGTCTTCTTACTTGTAGTAAAATTGATGTACTAGTGAATGAATTCGTATAAAGAGAACAATATCGTGTAGCTAAATACTTAAAAATATTGTACAAATATTAGTTTATCGATTAGTCAATCAAGTAGCATCAAGAAGGATGTATAAATTTGATAAAAAAATGTTGATAAAAGGAATGCAATTAATTAATAAAACTTTACAATTATGTCGATTAACTTGGCTCTTCATTTAATTTTTAAAATCATTTTAATTCAACTCTATTTAAAATAATCTATAATGATGATTCAATGATGATAGTCATGAAAAGTGTTGCACTTGTATATATTTTTTCATTGACTAGAAAGAGTAAAATTTGATGAATGAAATTCTACAATAATATTGATTAGCATGCCTCAGTAATTTAGTTGCTATATATTTATAGCCAACTCCATTTGAAATTTTTTTTAATATTTATTATATACTTCCATATGAAATTTTAATGATAATAATCATAAAAATGCTGTACTTGAACTTAATTTCTTTCTATTGAATTTGATTGTATTTTGGTTCGTAACTTACCATAGCAATTTTTCAACAAACAATGTTAACTGTTTATTAATATATAATAGATTTATAATTTTTTCAGAAATGAATATTTATGAGGCATAAAAATTTTGGAATATTTTATTATATTACTATTATATCCATCATAAAGATTTTTTTTTCTGTAAGTAATTCTTTTGAATAAGTATTTAATACTGATTGTACGATTGTACTGATTGTACTTAGGTAATTGTACGGTCGGTCTATTCTTGAAGAAGTAATTCTATAAACATTCGTCGTTTTATTCAAATGTCGTTTTAATGAAAGCGTTTTTATCGTTTCAGTACGCTTCATTACTTAGACCGCCATTAACTGAAAGCTCGGCGCCGGGGGCTGAAATCATTGATAAAGTTGAATGGAAGCAGGTAAATACTTTAACCATATAACTATAGTGTATATATATATATATATATATATATATATATATAGATATATATACAGGATGTACCAGAACTCAACGTCAAGCCGAAACGGGGTGACAGTAATGATGAAATGTGATCAATACTATCACCTCTTCGAATTTGTTGACATTCAATTCTGGGCCACCCTGTGTATATATGTATATATGTATATATATATATATATATATATATATATATATATATAAAGTACATGATTCAATGTTAGTTATCAGTTGATCAAAAAATGTCCACAACAATTATTTATAAATTCACAGGCGCAATATAATTTTGCACTAGAAGTATAGTAATAAAATAGATATTATTTCAGAAGATTTATTTTTAGTATCGAAATACAAAATCGTAGTCAATAGCATTGCAATGCATTCTGGTTCGCGTTCGATCAATTTACTCTTATTTGTATGTGGATTCCAAAGCTCTTATAGAATATATAGTGTATCAATATATAGTAGAAGAAAATGTCAATAGAAAAAACGAATGGACAAGTTGCTAGTATTTTGAAAATTATTTATATCAATTTATAGTATTAATTTATATATCAGTTTTTTAAACACCCTTTTTCTGAACAGATATTAATTACATATCAAAATATACTTTTAAGTTACTAGAGAGATATCGAAATTCTATTACTAAGAACCAATAACTTCATTAAAATGTTTGAAATTAATGACGATCAGGAAAATATTGTGATAAGACGTTGAATTTTTTTTTCACTTTGCATTTCTTACTGTGTTTTTACCTAATGATTTAAACTATGATTTAATATGAATTCACAATGTGTCCGAGAAATTAACGTCAAGCTGAAATGGGGTGATAGTATCGACCTTAACTGTCCTGAAAAAAGTTCGAAAAAAATTGTCTTACTTTATTTGGATGAGCTTTCAAGAGCAATCCAGAGCTTTGGTGAAATCGTGACCATTTCTCAATGTAGTGTTTGATCTTTAATAATTTAGTTTAAAAAAATTAATTTAAAAACGGTCAGGAAACTTTTGTGGTGAAACGTTGAATTTTTTTTCACTCTGTGTTTTTATTGCTTTTGCTTTTATCTAATAAAATAAACTATGATTTAATATAAATTCGCAATGTGTCTCAGAAATTAACGTCAAGCAGGAATGGGGTGATAATATTGACCTTAACTGTCCTGAAAAAAATTATCTCACATTGTTTGGAAATTATGAGCTTTCAAGTGCAATCTAGAGCTTTGGTGAAATCATGATCATTTCTCAGTTGTAGTGGTTGATTTTTAATAATTTTGTTCATTTAAATTTTAAAACCGTTACCGTGAATAACATTTCTAGGACCACAATCAAAAATAATAAAACAGTTGCCCCAAGTTTTTAAAATGTAAGACTCTTTGTCGAACTATGTATGTAATTTTTTTTAAATCGGTCAACTTTAAGTGGCCCTCCTTCTGAAGCAATGAACTAAAATATGTTGGCAAGATACATCAAAAGTTGGAGCAATTGAACAGGACTGTATAATGGTAAAATACTATCATTTTATTAATAAAAAAATTCGAGAAAAAAGTAAAAACCTGGAAATTTTTGCTTGTGCATTTTACTCACAATTAGTTCAAATACATATAACATACGTACATAGTATTAATAAATCGTTTTACGTTGGCCTTAAATATAGTTTTCTTAAATATGGCTTTTATGTTAAAATGTGTTTTTTTAATTAAATAGCAGTAAGTTAATTAACAAGACAACGACATGATTATAATTAATTTGTGGAGATTTAAATTTTATTATTTTGTAATTTATATAGCAGCTAATTATTAGAACAGTATGATTGTAATTAAATTGCAGACAATGAGTTAAAAACAATTGCAATACAGTATTTTAAATTGATATCGTGCCTGTCGAGCGTTTTTCTGACAACTAACTATTTTTTCCAGTTTTATTTTTATTCATTTTAGTGGAAAATTGAGCGAATAAAAGTATAAAAAACAGTGTTATTCCTGTTACTAATCGAGCTACAAACTTTTTTTTAATTTTATTTATATATAAAATGTAGTTATTTTCATATCTCAGACAGATAGAGGTGCGAGATATTATGGAAACAGTTTTCATCAAACTTGATTTTCTTTTTATGACTCTGAAAATTATTAATAATAACCCAAATATCGAAATTATTGATATCAGATAAAAATTAGAATAATCGTTGAATTCCTTTTTATCAGATAAGATTCTTATTGCATTATTCTTATGCAACATTCTTTTGTAGTATCAAAAAAGTTTTCACTCTATACTTCAAGTAGTCTTTCTGTGTGGAACTCTGTGAGCAGAATACCGATGATACCCGTTTCGTAACTCTATTCACCATTTAGTTGTACAAAAGGAAATTTTTTATACGTTTTGCCACCTTCACTTAATAATGTATCCTTAAATGTTTGCTAGCCCTTGAACTAAGGACCGAGAAATTCGTGCAAATAGTACCAAATCAACTTCTAAACGCGGGAAGTGCAAATACGGCTGTAATACTTCAGCGTTTGCGCAATGTAAACAAAATAATGTTACTCACAGAATAATAGAAACAAATAGATTTCGCTCAGTATATTATTTGGATTAGATTGATTTCATAAACTTAATCATAGAAAAATAGAATTTTAGAAGTGCTGGGAAGTTACTATATATAATAGTAATCACTGTGTCCTGAAGGCAATCCATGGTATAAGGACACCGTTATTTCTGTCAATATGAACATATGTCTCAGCTTTTAATTATACATATTTTTTGCAAAATCATCAATTATGTGTATTTTTCCCTTAGTCGTTCGATTGTGCGCAGGAAAAAAATTTTATCATACGGGTCCAATCCATTTTTGTTTTCCAGAGTGTATCTGACTTTCCATAGAACTTTCTTATTGCAACTTCTCTGTATCACTTTAATATATTTCAAAACTTTCCCAATAGTTTTCGTTGGTTTTCTTTAGAATTCACATCTCTGGTTTATGCAGATGCTCCAATTGATTTACGTTAATAAAAATCTACTATTAAAATGTACTGGTATAACTCATATGTCATTTTTATGTTTATATTTTTTATTCGATTTTTTTTATTAATGAAATTATCAAGTATTTTTCCATTTTACAATTCTGATTATATGCTACATCTGATGAAACTTGCCAACACATTTTAGTATATTTCTTTCAAGGAGTCCTCTCAAAGTCGTCCGATTTTAAGAATTATAAATTTATAGTTCAACAAAACGTCAATTCTTGAAAGCTTGAGACCATTACCATTGTGATATTTTTTCATTGTGATCCTAGAAATGCTACAACTTTTGCTGGAACTTGTCAACACACTTTAGTATATTTCTTTTAAGGAGTCCCTCTCAAAGTCGACCAAAATTTTCAATTTATACTTCAACCAAAAGTATTAATTCTTGAAAACTCGAGACAATTGTGGTATTTTTTACTGTGGTTCTAGAAATGCTATTTACGGTTACGGTTTCTTTTCAATATTTCAAATTTATAGTTCAAAAAAATGACCTAATTCTTGAAAACTTGGGATAATTGTTATATTTTACCTCTGTGATCCTAGAAATGCTACAACTTTTGATGAAACTTGTCAACACACTTTATTATATTTCTTTTGAGGGATTCTTCTCTAAGTTGACCGATTTTAAAAAATTTCAATTTATAGTTCAACAAAAAGTCTTGAGACAATTGTGATATTTATTCACTGTGGTTCTAGTAATGCTATTTACGGTTACGAATCCAACGTTTAATCGGATAAAATTAATAAAAATTAACCGCAATAACCAAAAAATGACCACAACTTCACCAAAGCTCTAAGTTGCACTTAAAAGCTTTTAATTATTTAATTTTCTTTCCATTTTTTAGAACAGTTATGGTCAATACTAGGGAGTGCAATACCGGTATTTCGGTAATTTTAAAACTAGAATACCGGTAAAATACCGGTATTTTCATTACTTAAACAAATGTAAACAAAATTGAAAGTTACTAGATTATATATAAAAATTCAGTTTAATGACTAGTTGAAATAATATTATAACATTTGTTTTTCCTATAGAATCGCTTAAAGATATAGCTGTTTATACCATTATGAAGTTTAAAAATAAATCTGTTTCGAAAAATTTAAACTTGATTGTAATATGTCTCAAATAGACTTAATAAACACTGGTATTAATACCGTCGGAAAATCGAGCGGTATATCGGTATTTCGGTATTTCTGTATACCGGTATATCGGTATTGCATTCCCTAGTCAATACTATTACCCCGTTTCGGCTTGACTTTGAGTTCTAAAACACCATGAATAAATGAAGGCTTATCTAAAAACTCTATTTTTTGCCATTTTTAAATTTCTTTGTTTATGTAAACAAAGGTTTACCAGATGTCCTACAAAAGATTGTGTTATAAAATGCTCTGATATAAAAGGAGCAGTCATGGCTCTTTCGCCTGAATGCGTCGCCTCTATTTAATCTTTTCATAAAACCGCACCCGAGAGCCATAACGATATACAAGATATATATATATATATATATATATATATATATATATATATATATATCTAAAATATATATATATATTTATATATATAGTAAACTATAGTATAAAACATCAATAACCTGTCCCTGCTATTTGAATTTTATTAAGGAGTTTTTCTGTCAGTTATATCCATTTTTCATCCCGACTTCGATTTAAATGTGATTATTTTAAATGGTATTGTATGAAATTTTTTTGGGGAAACTATTGGCTGGATGAATTTCTTCTTGATATAAACTTGAAAAATTAAAATTTATTTAACAACAATAATATATAGTGCCCTATATACCTAAATTCTTGCAAATAAATAAAAGTATAGGTAGTGTAATTGTGATTCGACTTAAATATTTTTGTAAATTACTAATGCACATGTATGTAGAGATAATATAATAAATAAAAACAATAATAATAAATAAATAAATAAATAAATAAATAAATAAATAATGAATAAAAATAATAATTTCTTTGATTCGTTTATCATTCTACAACAGTCAGATCAAAATTCTGTGAAGTGTTGTCCTAAGACATACTATACTCTTAGTGCTATTTTCACTATATAAATTAGAATTAAAAAAAAGAAAAGTTCTGGTTATTGAAAGTTCTGGAATATATCACACTTACAACAATCAACCATCTAATGAGGTTTAATATACTATTTTCGTTCATCTAATTTCTATAAAATCGACTTTCCAGAATGAAAATTTTCGATTTATTTGCAATATCGTTCATCACCAGGGTAATAAAATGAAAGAAATAAAATAGCACGCGAAGTCTATCAAGTTTGAAAATGTCACTCAATGCTTCCCGGTTTTTATTGTCCAGTAGATCTCACTCATAAAATTTTCAGGCAATATTGGATTCTGAAACTTCGTTGACTTTTGTGCTTTTCTAGTCAAATATAAATAGATAGAGGAGATCAAACTTTGTTTTTAGTAGCAGAAACTAATAGGAAAAAATAAATATTCACTTCACATATAATTTTTTCTACATCTAATAAAGCTAAGTGTTCCCAATTAGATTGCATTTTTGGAGGCAACCCTACTGTTATCCTATTTATTTGATGAATTTTATATTAGAAGACAACTCAGTGGTTGGCCTTTCTATATTCATTTTCACTTGGGAATTATTTTGATCTTCATTTTAAAATAAAAATGGAAAAAAATGTGCATAGGAAAATTTGTATATATTTTGTGAAGGTCTCAAGGCAACATATCAGGACAATCTAATGACTCTATAAAATCTGAATTTGTGCATTATAATTTTGTTAAACCATATAACAGATCTTTCCAAATCTTAAATATGCAAGTAATCTCTTGAATCTCCTACTTCTAGTAATTCGAGAGATGCATCTCTTACATGTTATTTTTGCCAAAGTCTCCGAACTATAAATACAAGAAATGTGTTCATTATCAAAATTAATCAACAAGTATTAAATATCACAAACGAATATAGACCACAATGTTGATCTGGCTGCTGTTAATACTCAGAAGGCAAAACAAAATATTATCAAACCGGATTATTGGACAGGTAGTCAAATAACAAACGACTAATACTATCAGTGATGGTCAATCACGGATACATTGTCACAAATTCATTGGTCAGTTAAAATTTATGATTAAAAAATTACTCGACAAATAAGTTATTTTGTGGAGAGCAATCTTCAGAGCTATTGTTAAATAACTCCTCAAGTAGTGTTCCTAGAAGGCAACCCAATAGTTGCCAATTATTGGAAGCCCTAATTACAATAAAAAATTTGATATAGTTTAGAATATGCACATGACAATATCAACTACATTAAGTTTATAAAAAATAGTTCTCAAGGAAAGGATTAGAGTGTAAATAATTGTATTTATTTGTGTAGATATAAGAGTACAAAAAACATTCTGTCTATAAAAGTAATATATTACATTTACTTCTTAGAAACAAAAAACTAGCAATAGGTAGTATTAATGTATTATTACCTCGGGAATAATGCTGGATGTCACACGTAAATCAAAGAAAAGAACAATTTATCACTCCGAAAAAGTTACTTATAAAACTACGTATAGGATATAATGTAATTTATCAAAGTTAGTTTAGTAATTGCGTTCTATTGATGACCCAGGTGGGTATATATCTGACTCTTCCTAGGCCTTTTTCGAGTCGTAGAAAATATCATATACAATACAACTTTTAATGATACGGTAAAAATTCTTGAAAAATCATTCTTAAAGTGGCTTCATTTTGTATAACTCCTATCTTGATGAAATTGCCTGGTTTTCAATTTTATTAAAATGTTGATATATTACACAAAATACTAAATATAGAACCAAACTTAATAAACATTCTTCCATAAATTTCATATAATATACAATATACAGCAGATAGGACTTTAATTTAATAAAACCTTTTCGTATTTCTGATATCATATTAATTTAATAATTTCAAAACCAAATTGTTCATTCAATTTATATAGAATACAAATTGATTGAAAATCAGTAAAAATTTGGTCATAACAAATAATTAATTTATAGTCAAAAATGTGAGTCATGAACGTAGGGGTTTTTGTTGCTTCATATTTTGCCTTTCTATTTATCAATTTTAATTATTTTTATAACTAAATTCTTTTCTTAAAATTATATTACTGTAAACTATTAAATGATGGAGTATTTTTATTTTATTAAATAGGAGTTATTGATGTTATATTTATCAATAAACATCGTTTCATATTTTATATGAGTTTATAGAAGAACTAGGTGAGGTAAGGCAACAAAATGAATATTATAAATTTAATTATATATATCTATATATATATAGAAAACGATACATTATAATTAACTTCGTGAAAATAATAATCCAATGAAAAATTATTCTCATAATTTTATTATGTATGGCAATGGTTACATTTTGATCTTTAAAAATCATTATTCATTGATAAATATGTCCAATAATGTAAAACTGCAAAACTTGCTCTGGAAATCGTTTTATAGGCAACATAACTTTTTATTTTTCAACATTGCTGAAAAATTCATATTCCATTGTTTTTTTAATATACTTGGATGAAAAATAAGATCATATAAATATAGAGAAAAAATTCGACAATTTTTGTTTAATGTCTTATTGAAAACATTCGAAGTTGATTGAATGATCAGTCAACTTATTTTGTTGTGATTATAATTTTATAAAGTTTTTTATGAGAGTAATTAAAATTATATTATATAAATTTCTATTATTTTAGAAATTGTTTTTTATACCGGTAATTTATTCATTTTTTATATTTTTTATAATCCAATTTTCATTCTGACAAGAATCTGCAACTAAGTTGTTTCATATAAATTGTGTACGTGCCAAGATGCTTGCACAGCGTTACAAAGTTTATTCAAATTGTTACTGTAAGTTACAAAACACAACATTGTAAGAAAGATATTATGTTAGATGAACTTGCTCTAATTAATTAAATCGTGCCCTAATGTTACTACATAAATTGAAGTTCTATTTTGTTGAACAAGTTTATTGTGCATATTATTAAATTTCACATATATTTCAATATCACATGTTCAAAAATTTAATATTTACAAGTTTTTAAATATCAATAAACTTCATAATATTTACAAAATTTGTTTATTAACAATAAAATACTTGAACACAAAAAATAATTACAATTATTATATTAGACAAGTTTTTGATAGTAATTTAGGCTAACTTAGAAGATAGAAAGATTAAGATTGATAGAGGCAAAAATATTCACAAAATTTTTAAATTATATATATTTTAATATATATATGTATATATATATATATATATTTATATGTGTGAGTACAGGTGAACCCATATAACGACAAAGCCATATAATATAACTAGATCTTTTTATTTAAAAGTCCTGACGTCACAGAATACAGAAGAAAAATTAAAGAATATAAAAATTATAATATTTTTGTGTTTATTTGTATATGCTTAAAATTAGTTTAAAATTTTCAAAACTATACATATACTCATGAATTTAGTTTTTAGAAGTTTTAATCCATTCATGCATTTTAGTTTCAGTTTTAAAAATTTGTGAACTAAGATTTATTTTCAAAGTTTATATCGATTCATATATTTTTAGTTTTATTTCAAAAATCTCTACTCATGGATTTGTTTTTAAAGTATTGATCGATTCATACTTTTTCATTTCAGTTTGAAAATTCGTGAACTAACTCATGGATTTATTTGCAAAGTTTTGATCGATTCATATAATTCAATTTCGGCTTTGAAATTTGTGAACAACTACTCATGGATTTATTTTCAAAGTTTATATCGATTCATACATTTTGCTTGTAGTTTAAAAATCTTCACTCATGGATATATTTTCAAAATTTTGATCGATTCATTTTAGTTTTAGTTTGAAAATCCGTGAACTACCCATGAATTCGTTAACTTACCATATAGTGAGTTATCGTTATTGCAAAAAATCTAAAATTTACATATTTTTACGTTTCAAACCCGTCTGAACATTTGGACCGTTTGAACATACTTTAAAGAAATTGATTTATGTGTGTGTATGTATGTATTTATGTATTATATATGTATGAGTGTGTGCTTTTGTGTGTGCCGATACAATTTTCGTCGACAATCTCGAGAGCACTGATCAACCGATTTGAATTATTAAAAAAAACATTCGATTCCTATTGATAAGGACACTTCTAATTAGTTTTTGGCCAAAGCAGTTTAAAAATCAGTGACATTTATTTCTCAGGTTTTCGACATTCTGTGGTCGGACCCTCAATGCTCCGATGGCTGTGTGCCGAATGGGCTGCGGGGTGCGGGCACATATTTTGGGCCCGACGTGACGGCCAAATTTCTAGCCAAAAACAAATTCATGTGCGTCGTCAGGTCACACGAATGCAAACCGGACGGATATGAAATGATGCACAGTAATAAGGTGAGATTTAAATATTTAGAATTAAAATATAAATTGTAATTGTAATCAAGCATTCTGATTATGCTTATTGTAATACATTGTTACTTTACACACGTCCAAACACCCGAGCGTAATGTAGTTAAGAAGATATCTGAACCCAAAACTAACTATCCAAATTCAAAAAAAAATTTCAAAATGGTTCAAATATTACAAAATTTAATAAAATATATATTTTAAAAAATTTTGGTTTTTACAATGACTTTGTAATATATTCAATTAACGACATTCATTAAGGATTTCTGAAGTACCACACCAATTTCATATAATTTTAATTTAATGTATGTATTTATCATGTTTGAGAACCTTATTTTTCGCTAAATTTCTGTAAAAACGAGCACTGTTATAAAACAATCTTTACCAACGTTTATGTGGAATTCTGTCTTAGTACAAGTTGCATAAACTTTTCGATATATGTATACAATATTCTGCATAATATGATAATATTTATTCATTATTTCGAGTAATTTATAACTAGCTGTGGAACCTTTTAATTAGAATTAGAACCATTGGATTTTATTTAATTTGCAAAATTATCAGTAATATCAGTTACTTAATACTACGGTTTATACAAAAGCCGACATTTCAGAAAACCGGTTTTTGAAATTTAATTTTAGCGGAAAACCGGTTTTAAACGGTTTTCGAATTTTTTATAGAAAATCAATTTTTGCTCGAATATTTTGTAATAACAAAATTTATCCGCAAATTTAGTGTGCAGAATTTGACTAAATTTATTTATTGTTCAATTTTATGGATAGTAAACAAAATTAATTTAATTTTAATTAGTAGAACAAAAAATAACAGTTTATCTGATTTAAATAACTTTGAAAATAATCATTTGTTATTATATATTTATATTTTATGATAGCGGATATATATTTTTATGAAAGTGAAAGGAAAGTTTTAAATAATTAAAAATAATACATTTTTGAATAAAAAAAACATTTATTAATTTAAAAATAATAAAAAAAAATATTAGATACATGTTGATATATACTTGTTAATATCAATTTTAGTTTTAAAAACAATTAAGCTAAACCCCGAGTATTTTCTATTCCGAGCAATTTTTATTAATTAATTTAAAAAATCTAATTATTTTTTGTTTAATAAAATATTATTTAAAAAACTGAGAACTATCAATTTGCTACTTAGACGTGTCCTTTGTTTACTCACAAAATTTCAAAAAACAGAAAATACTCTCTCACTTGCGACCCAAGCTAGCTTAATTGTTTTTAAGGCCTGATATATTAATTCAAAGTTTTTTGTTCTTTTATTTGTGGCTTCTAGGGCTCAAAACTCTTTTTTTAAGTTTGAGTAGAGAAAGTTACTTCTTCAAGAAGTCACATTGATTTAAATTAATATGCTTTAGATAAAAAGATAACACAAAACCTTTCTGGGAACCATAGCAAACTGATAAGAATCCAAATGCTATTGAACCGATATGAGTTCAAGAATAAAAACGCTTGAAACTATCTTTTAGATTTGACTATATTTCCGGTTTTTGAAAACCGTCAAACCCTACTTAATACGCCCTTATTACATACACAGTGTATGATCTAAAAATATGACCCATTATTCGAAACTTTAATAAATTTTCAATGATTGAACAATTAAACTATGCATCTTGCAATATTATAAGCCTACAAAATTTAATGGTGGTTTAATTATGCTAAATCTAAATTCATAATGAATAAGTGATGATTATTGATATATATCAGGTAATTTATGCAACTTTCCCTAAAGCAAAGTGCAACTTACATCCAGTTACATAATGCAGTAAATGCATACGTTATATTCTTTCTTTTTTCACATAACTCAAATACGATTTTTAAAAATTATTTTAATTATTCTAGTTGCCACTTTATGAAAATGTCATTTCATACCCGTTTATTATATTTACTTTACTTTTTATACATTTTCCATTACATGAATAAATAAAAAGAAATATTACATATCACAATCCTTTTTATGCTATATCAGTAGATACCTCATCGTAACAATTTCGAGTCATCTCTTTGAGGTAAATTGCAATTTGCATGAATAAAATGTCTAGATATGAGATATGAAATAGACTTTCTCATTATATGCGTAATTTTTATGTTACTTTTGAACATCGCAATTAGTATACATCAAAGAACGCTATGTAATTCAATGGAAAACACAGGAAATTAAATATAAATAAAAGATTTTAAATACACGCTTGGGATTCTTGCGTTAATTATTATATGATTAAGGAACATTATTAATATTTTATTTTATATAAAAGCTAATTTGATATATATACATATATATATATATATATATATATATATATATATATATATATATATATACTATACAATTGTTCTCATAATTTCAGTTGTATCAATTTGTAGGTTAATTAATTTCGAGTGCCTTTTGTTTGAAACAATATTTAAGATCTTTTCAAATGCGACAGCCTAGCAGAAATTTCATATAAATGCAAATAGAAGGATCGAGGCAACATAATGAAACCTAACACGCTTCATCTCTTAAAAAGGTTTAATGAATTTATTCTCAATGTATCCCATAGAGTTGAATCAACGAATTTTTGTTTGCTAAGTGACTACGACTCGTACATATAATCTTTTGTTATATAAATTCTGAGTACATATATTTAATAAGAGACTTAGTAATAAAGTCTATGTAGTATTTACTAACAATAAGGAAGTGAGTAGCAACACGTAATATATTTATGGCGGAGTGCATAGATCCTAATAAAGCAATATTAATTTCATCAAGTTAGTTTTTTGTAGTCCATATATAATATAATAATTAATATATATATATATATATATATATATATAATAATAATAGCGGATATATGACTCTGGCCGGATATAACTATGCCCGGATATAACTCTGCCCGGATATAACTCTGCCCGGAAATAACTTCAACCGGATATGACTCCGTCCGGCTATAACTCCAGCCGAACATGAATTTGGCCGGATGTGACTCCGTCCGTATATTACTCCGGCCGGATATAACTCCGCGCGGATATAACTCCAACCGGATATGACTCCGTCCAGATAGAACTCGGAGTATTTCCCTTAATTAAATTGTAACGATTTAATTGTATCTAACCATGATCTTGTATTTCGTAATAAAAATTCATCGGCAGAAATCGAATAACTATTAATTTAATTTATCTCTTAAAAAATTGCCTTTTCAATTTACTTTTTATGTACTGTTTATTATTGTTAGAATTTTTCAAAATTTTTGGAACCATCAATATTACAAATGTGTAGAAACTTTTCAAAACTGTTCGAGAAAAACAGAGATTTTAAATTAAGTCGCTCTTAAAGCTTTTCACAAATCGAGGTTTCACCGCATTTTCAATATCCGATTTACATAATCTTAAATGATTATATAATAAAGCCCCTAGTTATATTATATCACTAAGTACTAAATTATAGATTCGGCTAATGTCAAATCAGCACCTTTGATCAAAATCAATTTCGTGGTTAAAGGGTGCCTAGAAATACGTTAATCAGGGTAGATTCGAGCAGATAAGCACTGATCCGACGATAATGAGATATCGATACGTTTAATCATTTATTACGTAATGAAAGGATTTAATTAAAATCTAAATTTGATTCAAAATTTTGAAACTGGCAACTGGCAAGGTTTCTGAATAATAATTATGGACATATAATATTTCGTAGGAAAAATTCATCATAATAAATTGTCAATAATAAATTAATATTTTATATGGTTTAATTTTAGAAAAAAAAATTAAATCAAATGATTATTTTAAAAGAATAACTATATATTATCGTTGCAGGTTATAACAATATTTTCTGCATCAAATTACTATGAAATTGGTTCAAACAAAGGAGCTTATTTAAAATTGGTAGGAGCAGGTTTGGATACACATTTTGTTCAATATACTGCAGCTGCTTCAAAAACAAGAAGACTGACATTCAGGCAAAGAGTGGGTCTTGTGGAATCCAGTGCAATTAGGGAACTTAGTGCAAGACTAAGGAGTAGACGAGCTGAACTAGAAAAGGAGTTCAAAAGTCGGGATGTGGAAGGGACAGGTTAGTTAGATTATTTGGTCAATAATTTTATAAAAAAGAATGCTCGTAAGGTTCACATGAGATTGAAAAAAAACTGTTTTGATATTGTATGAGATAGCATTTAAGTTAATATTAAATACATCATATAACAATTTTGAATAATGTTTATTAGTAATATGGTAACACTTGTGATGCACTCATTTATTAGTGTCAACCATTATACACATTATATTAAAAATATTTATAATATATGAAAACTATAATGTACTTAGTTATATTTCAAATATGACATGATTGGTTTGTCATTGTAATTGACATTTAGAACGTAACCCTTCATTAGAGAAATGAAGTAATTGCTGATCAATAAATTTTATTATATTCGTTCACACGGTGGATTATGCTAAACAACGCCTAAAGATATATTGTTTTCACTCATCATGTAATTGTATTTGAAGAACTTCATGTAATTAGAATTAACATACAATCATTGACTGCTTATATTTTTTTTACTTTTTCGCTTGCGATTTAATCTCATTCTTTGAGTAGCTGTAATATCTGTTTTGCCTATGAAGATATTTTCCATTTTAATAACTTCAAAGATTTATAGAAACTACGAAGAATATAGAAATTATTTCAATAAACTTACGTTTCTTATACGGCACAATTGTTATACTCTTCTGATTCAGGCATTTTTATTAAATCATGATTTGTACTACGATGTAACATTAAAATCTAATGACATTCCGATCTCAACACGATGACTATTCACAATCAATTCATATAGAAATGATTTCATCGAGAGCGAATGACGAACAGTTCGGGCGTAACATAACTTCCGTTGCATTTTCACAGATTTACTCCCTACTCCAAAAATAAAAATAATTCAGTAGATAAATTAAGTATCATTCTGATTTAAAAATATTAATAAGCATATGAGTTAATTATTTTGTTTGTAAATATATTATTCAGTTACTTGGAATTTATTGCAAATTAAGTTTCTTGGTATAATATACATTATAAATTTCATTTATATTCTACGGTTTTCTATAGTTAAATTAATTTTTCTTACAATGGGTAATAGATTCGATTCTATGTGTTACGGAAAGTAATGCTTGATCGGGTTATTGCTTCATCAAATGTCACTTTATATGTATACCGATCGCTCCAAGGTTCTTATATATCGGTTCATATATATACCCCGTTGGACATTTATTGGATTCAATGTCTAGCATTAGCGGAGAAAACATTGCTTTTATTCCATGATCTATTGATAATAAAAGTATAACTATGGGTGCATGGCATCGTGCCCTAAGGCAAACTGCTGAAACTTCCCGTATCAGAATTAAATATTCGATTAAATTAAATTTCGAATTAAATATTGATCACTGATTAATAACAATTGTTCTAAATATTTTTAAAGAGATAATTATATATACTACATATTTATTCGTTCATATAATATACGTTGACGATCTTTGCTCAAAACACTTGAAAGTGTTTACATTAAGAAGAGATGCCGAATGAATCCATCTAAGGATGTACTTTTTACGATTCCAATAAAGCATATGAAATATATACATTTTTAACCTGAATTGAAAAATTATATTTAAAGTATAACCCTTTGTATATTTGTAATGTAACAAAATTAGTACTCATGTTTAAAATCTCATTAAAATCTGAATAATTTGATATGCATTTTTTTTGTTATAATTTATTTAGATATGCGTAAGTCTAATGATAATTTTGGACCACAAAATATTTTTTTTTAAATTTCTTCTGTATCTCCAAAACCGCTGGACCTGCCTTCCCAGAAATTTTATAAATTCTTCATTTTGTCAATAGAACGGCCTGTTTTTCCAAAAACTAATCAGCACGTTTCCCTATCAGTAGGAATGGAATGTTTTTTGAATCATTCAAATCGTTTGGTCCACGAGCCCAAAATCGTGGACGAAAAATTGTATCCAAATATACATACACACACACAAACATCCATTTTTTTAAGGTATGCCAAAATGTTCAGAAACGTTTGAAACGTAAACATATATACAAATTTTCATTTTTGATTTTTTTGCGATTACTATAACTTACCCGACGAAAAGTTAATAATATAAAACATTGGCTCGAATATAATAAATTGGTTTTGCTTCAATAATTATTGTGCATGAACGTATATGCCTTTTATACTTACTCCAATAATAATTGAGGACAGATCGATGTAACTGTATACTTTTGGCTTCATTTCTTTTGGCATCACATGTAATGTATATTGGCAGATAAAAATAATCACAAGAAAATATATATAATTTATTTCAGTGAAGAAAAAATTACTTTATGAAATGATTTGATATATATACAAAGGAAAAAAACAATGGAGGTATCTCATTGGAGTAACCTTTCCAAAGCTATAAAAACACAAGTCTTGTAGTCTGGAAGAAATATTTTAATATTTTTATTGACAATTTATTAAAAAAATATAATCAAAAAAATATCCTAGACTTATTCAACATAATGTTTCATTGGGAAATCAAAAAATAATTGTTTTATATGCATTCTAGGTATTTTATCACTAACTCAGTGGTGCGAAGCGATGGAAGCAGCTACTAACCTAGGGTTGCCTTGGCGTCTTTTGAGGGATAAATTGGCTCCAACGGCTACAAATAGTGGTGTTTTAACCCCCCAAATAAGTCAGACACCTAAAACAACTCCTAACAAAACTCAGAATGGTGGTCCTCATGAAAGTAATACAAACACTGAGGAAATTCCAAAAGTTACAGCATCCGCACCCGGAGTTCTTTACAAAGAAACCCTGGCTGCTCTTGACACAGATATAATTGTAAATATACATTTTATACAATATTTTGTTGTTTGTAATGTAATTTTGGTTTTGAAGAGTTGTGTTTAATGATAATTCAACACTTGGTTTAGTATTAAATTTATTTTTTTATTTTATTTCAGAAACATGCACAATCTGGATGTACATCAGTCGTAGACTCTTTGTACAGGAATAAAAGCAGTTTGGAGGCAATATTTAGAATTATTGATAAGGACAATAGTGGTAAGTAATTATATTCTAATTTTTTTTTATTTTTTATACATTCAAATATAAATACAAATGATAAACTAGTGGTGCAGGGCATCGTGTCTCAAGGCAAATTGCTAGAACTTCCCGCATCGTAACGACATGTTTGAAGAATATTTAATGTTTTCTAATAGATTATTATAAATACTGTTACATTGTCTAATATTTATAAGAATTCTACTAAGAACTGAATTACAAAGTTAAAATTATATATTTAAAGAAAATAAGTTAGCTTAAGAACTTTAGCTGGAATTAAAATTAAAATCTAAATTATTTTCGATGAAAAAAAATTATAAAAAAAAATTTGAAAAAAAAACACTGTCAAAAGCAATTATTTTGTCAAAACAACGGCACTCTCTGCTCCGTATCTCCGTAACGCGTGGACCTGCCTTTGCCAAAAACTGCCAAAAAAATCAGCACATCTCCGTATCAATAGAAATCGAATGTTTTTTAACCATTCAAATCGGTTTATCCGTGCGCCCTAAAACGTTGACGAAAAATAGTATCCATACATACATACACAGTACACATATATAAACACACAATTATTTTAGTTTAGCAATTATTTGCATTCATGAAGGATAAGTTCATTTTATAGTATTCATTGAAAATTATAACATACAAGGACTTTTCACAATTTAAGGCACGATTTTCTCTGATACAACTTATTCTCTTCTTTCCAAACGACTTCAGGACTTTCCAAATTTGCTTAAAATAATACAAGTTTGTGTAAGCTAGAGTAAAAAAATACATACAGTTTCATTTGCACTTTATTTATTAATTTTTTGTTACGTCTATTATAATATTTTATTGTGAAATTTCAGGATATATATCTCTGGAAGAATTTGCTGACGCTTGTGCATTATTGAGAAGACATTTACCTCCAGATGATACACAAGAACAATTACTTGACATGTGCAAAATGATGGACATAAATAAAGATGGCTTAGTAGATCTCAACGAATTTTTGGAAACCTTTAGATTAGTTGACTCAAATAGGGAAAATGCTCCTGAATTATAAGTATTTTAACAACCATAGTATATAATTAGAATTTATCCGTTTACTTTATAACATTGCGCTTCTTAAAAAACTGGTATGAGGGATAGATTCAATATGATTATAGAAAATTATAAGGATAAGATTGAAATGATACTATTGGAGCAGAGAAATATTTTTGACGATCCGTTCTTAATGCTAACCAAATTCTCTTTTATGGTATCATTTCAGTATAAAAATGTTTGGCTGAGCCAATTTAGAGAATTTTAACCAATAAATTCATAGATAATAGTACCAGTTTATTACTGAATGTGCAAGAAAAATTTTATGCTAAAAGAATTATTATTATAATTCGATAATTATATAGTCGTAATCTTATGAAATAATAAATGCAATAGGTATTGCCTGTGCGTACCATTACCTTGTTATAAATCATATTTTCTATTTTAGCAAGAAACTATGACCAAGTTGTATTAATTTATGTAGAAGTTAATATGTGGTCTAATAAATTGGCAATTAACATTATTTGAATTTTTGGCAATTGTTCGACCTTATACTGAATAACAAAACTTTAATAATTTGATAGATTTTCTGTTTTTATTATCCTTTTCAAGAGATTCCTAGTCAAGTAATAATTGACTTATAACTATAATAATTGACTTATACTGTTTCGTTTTGTACTTATATTTTTTAGTGATTTTGGTAATATGTAAATAAATTTATTTTCAAGTTTTAAGACTACTTTTCAATATTGTGAATCCAAGCTTTATTGGTTTCAATAATTTTCTGAATAATTAGAAAATATAAACTCTAATGCTAAATAAATATTTTGCAAATAAATGAATAAAATTTGATGCATAAGTTTAATTTATAGAAAAAATTTCTATCCATTTTTTTAATGAAAATTCTGTACAATTAATGTATAAGAGTGTTGCAGTTGCCAATTTCATTTTTATACTCAATTACTTAAACCATTTGATTTTGAACTTCTTATAAAATTGCATCAGATCATTTTCAAAAAAAAAACGATAACAAGTATTTTTATATATATGTTAAGTTTTTCTAATTACATAAATCACTTATTTTTTAAGATTATATTATCTCTTATATCACCTTACATTTTATCGATTGTTTTATATTACGTATTTAAAAACATAAATTATACATATCCTTGAAAAATATTTTTAATATAATAAAAAATTACATAATTCCATAAGTATATATTAGCTGATAAATCATGTAGATATTGAGACTACTTATTATTTTTTTTTAAAAAAAATGATGCTCAAATATCAAATTTCAAACTTTATAATTCGCTTTCTGGCTAACGTTTTAAAAATAGTTCTAATTCTTAATATCTTATTAATATTGGATGTTACGTAAACATTTTCTGATGTATAATTGAATATTGCATCTATTGTAAAGGATGTATTTAATATTGAATAATATTTATATTAGGAAATTCACTATTAACGTATAAATCTATTATCAATATTTATTTTTATGCTCTTGATGATTTTTTTAAATAATGCCTAGATAATAAGAACCCAAATTTAAAACGCTTTTAAATTAGTAGGTGAAATATGTAACCAATGCGCTATAAGAATATCACATAGTTGAAATGTTATGAAAATATTTTATACTAAATAAATAAAATAGCAAATTTTATGTATAACCGTCCCTCACCAAATTTATTGTCTTATATAAATATAAATATTTTTAACAATAGCTTGACAAAGTCCTCACAAATAGATTTTAAACTAATGTTATTGGCTTCAATTATCAAATTTATCGTTGCCTAATTTAATTATCTTCTATTTGAACAAAAATATTAACAAGTATATAAAAATTTAACATTTTCTCTTGAATAATCTCTTGAATAATTGTTCATTGCCTCTACTAAAAAGACTAACTACATATTACCATTAAAATGAAAAAAAAACATATTTTGATTCAGGAACAAAATTTATTTTAATCAATAACGTTGGAAAAATTATAAATGAAAAAAAGTTAAATTTTTAGGTGCATTTTTTATAGAGAATGTTATGAAAATGCTTATGTGCCTGTTGACTTTTCTTTTTTTCTTATGACGACTTTTATAAACCAGGCTTTTGATTAAAATAAATTTTCTAATTTATATCCTAAATTTAAGCTGAGCTTTTTTGAGGGACTGACTACATTATGGGATCAAAAATATTTGCAATATACAAAATATAAAATATATATGAATGTTACTAATATTTAAAAAATTAAAAAAAACGCATAGGATTATTTATTTTCGAACGTACTTGGTGATATGCTAGTGATAAATGTAATTTTGAATGTGCAAATTTTTGATATTCTTTTTAATTTATGTATTTAGCTTTTTTTAAAAAACTGGGTTAAAATTTGTTTCTTAAAAGTTACATGTATTTATTACAACAATTTTATGTTTTGTAAGTTAAACCTTTCCACTCGGATGCCGCCGCTCCGGCGACAAAATTTATACTAATTCTGCAATTCGCGAGTGGAAGGGGTTAATTTCTTGTTCATCAATACGTAGTTATTATAATATAACTTTCTTGTTTTATTTTTTAAATAAGAAAATTTTCTAATATTTTGCTAGAATTGGCGTGAGCAAAATTTTAATACTGTTATTTGTTTAAAATATGGTTTTATAATCGTATCGAAGGAATTAACTTTTGATTCGTACAATTATTATTATATTATAATAATGTGAACAATAAAATATATCATAAATATTTCATTTTGATGTTAGTGCTTTATATTGTCAGACGATATAATAGCATTTTATAATACTTATTTAACTTTAAAATTGATAGGTCTGTGAACATTAATTTTTATATTTATGTATTTTGCTGTGATATTATTTTAATTGTACCTATATGCAAATATTAATTCAGTTTAGATTTATTTTATAAAAATATATTAATTATATTAGAAAATAATTAAATGTTATCAAACTTAATATATTATCTTAATATATATTTGAAAATCGTATCTATTAATTGAATAACTAAATCTGTTATTCAACAACATTACATGTTGCAATTTTGTGGCATATAAAGTGTCAAATTTTGTGATATAATATATGAATTTTATATTGTTAATTCTAATATCATCAGTTGTAAGTTTTTATTTGCAAATTGATAATATTAAATGTCGTTAAGCCCATATTATTATGCCAAATATTTGAAAATTCTAAGTGTTACCAATAATAAACAAGTATTGATGTAATATATTTGTCAATTAAAAATGTGAAATGAATTTTTCCTTTATGTTAATAATGCGAATAATATTTAAAGGCTCGATTCAACAGCAAGATTATAGTATTGATGTGATATGTTATTATTTTAATTCTTATTATTAAAGTTCCATTTTTTTGTTCAATTACTATCTATAGTAATATATAATATGAAAATCATGTTTAAGAATCCGCAGATAGTGTGGTAATTTGAATCATATGATTATATGCATTTATTTAATTTTTAACTTGTAACTTTCAAATATTATATATAATCTCAATTGCATATTCAAAAAATTAGTAAACAATGAAACTATCCTACATATTTTTTAGCACTATAATAATCTATGTTAAAATCGCACTCAAATCAAGAAAAATTTTGCGAGCGTGACAAAATCTATTAATTAAGAAAATTTTAAAATCGAATATCAAGAAAAATAGTTCCTAAAATCAACTTTTATCTTTACTTTGTTATCTTTTTCAATATTAATGATAAAAATATCTTATATGTATATGGATAAAACTAAGAAAATTTCTCTGCTTATTCAAATATGTAACAACATTTACAGTGCTGGATTTACAGTAGGGGCAGTTAGGGCTACTGCACAGGGCGGCAAATTTTCGGGGGCGAATATACCATATAATTGACTCATTTTTTAAAAACATTTTTTATTTCAAAAAATATAATCAACAAAACATAATATACAAATGCCAATACAGAATTTGGCAATTTGGCTAATATAAAGACTCGTGAATGAGTTGAAAGTTTAAGAAAAATATGTTTTACAGATTTCGAGCTCTTAAGATGACGAATATCTTCCAAGCTTCTAGCGCTAAAAAAAATTAAACTAGTGACGCATGGCATTGTGCCTTAAGGAAAGTTACTGAAAATTACATTTTATAGAGAACTTTAAAATTTTTTGAAAAATGAAAAAAATTGAATTTAAAAAACCTTTTATTTTTCGAATTTTAAAAAAAAAAATAGCTTTTATCTATTAAATTTATTAAACTGCGACGCGGCGATTACACTCTTCTATCTTTTGTCTCTATAAATATAAAAAAAACTCAAAATTTTTTAGTTTTCTTTTTTGTTTAATTATAATTTTTAGTAAGTATAAATTCAGGAATGGGGCGGCATTTTTGTCAGCGCCCCAGGGCATCAAATTTTTAAATCCGGCCCTGTACAAATCTATTATCATTTTTTGGATATCATAATAATCTGAAAGATGTTATATATTTTTATTGTATTTGAGAAAATAATTTATTTTGCACAAAATTTATTTATTGCAATAATCAAATCATTCATTAAGCATGTACTTTTTAAAAAACTGATTTTTTAAATGCAATATATTCGTAGAAATATTTATTTTCATATAAAATATCCAAAGGTATATGGCGTCCTCCCGACATCTAGCTATAATTGTATAAAACAAAAGACGATTGCTATTGCTTAGTTTTCATTCTTTTGTTTTATACAATTGCCTTCTACTGCGTATTCTATTCAAGTAGGTGAATTTCACAATGTTTTAAATTTCTATTTGAATTTCGCGCTTTAAATTGTACAAGTGGCCACAAACTTTTTGACACTTGTTGCTAACTTTAATTGCTTCGATTGTCAAAGAAATTTTCATGAATTAACATGTCCTCGCGTTAATTAAGACTTTTTAATTAAATTTTTGATTGGATTCTGTTAATTTGTACATCAACTCGTTTAATTAATTTTGTAGATAATAATGTTGTAGGAAATTCATCGCGAAATGTTCATAAAAAGTAAAAAAAATGGG